AGTGTTTGGGTTAATTTAAACTTTATTAAAGATATAGGACAGAATGTGTTTCATTTCGTATAATAACGAAATACAGTTATACTTTGAGCTTGTTATGATATTACAGGATGACTCACTAATGTTCCAGTTTGACATTTCTATGTTTTGTTGTTGCAAGACGTGTTGTGTGTAGTGTGAAGTGTGTTCTCTCTTATTGTGTTCTAAAGCTGCTAGTTGTTAAGCCTGCCGTGGGTTTTCTATTCCTTCAAATTCATTTTCCCTCTTTTTCGCCATCATTTCTCTCTCTCATTTGAAGAAGGAACATGAAGAGAGACACCGACTGATTCAGCATCTGCGAACACAAACATTACCACGTGACGTCATGTGTAGAACAACGTCAAATTTTATAAACACTGTGAAGGAGGATCTCGATTTGAAGATTCTTTGCTTTCACAGTTTCGATGTAATGTGCTCGCGACCCATAAATATGGAACACCTGCTTTAAAGACCAGTGGTATATATCTGTACCATCTGCTTGGCAGTCTATATGTCTGAAATTTTTATGAATCTGATAATTAACAGTGATGATTTTTTGAAAGAGCGACATCATACTGATCTTCGTGTTGGTGAAGTGTGGTGTTTTCTTTGCGGTTCGGACTGAGTTATTAAATGAGAGCACAGTGCTCGCAGTGCTGATGCTGCCAGCCAACTTGGCGACCTGGCGCCTATTGTGCCGATGGCGACGAACAATACTATGGTACCCGCGGTGTTAGAGCGAAGTTGACGACTATTGCATCCGTGGCGACCTGGGCGACTTGGCGCGACATGTACGAGTTCGTCTGTTTGCGCTAAGGTTAGGTTAAGCGAGGTGATGTTAGGTTAGGTTGGAATAGATTACGATACGTTTAGTTGTGTCAGGTTAGGTTAGGTTAGGTTACTTTAATTTAGATTAGGCTAGGTTGAATTAGGTTAGGTTAAGTTTGATTCCGTTAAGTATCTTAAGGTCAGGTAGTTTAAGTTGGTTTGGGTTAAGTGATGTTATATGAGGTTGTTAGGTTCTTTCGGGTTCGCCATGTTTGCCTTTATTCACCTTTCGACCCTCGGCGTAAACCCGGTAAATGTTTCCTAGTACTTTAAGATTTCCGATGCTCAATTTCTCTATGTGCATTGTTCCGTCTTCCAGAATGATGGCGCTTTGCGTTTCGACGCTTCAGTTGAATTAATTTGCATTTAAAGTCGGCGTCTTCGTTTTGGGACGTTCGGCGTTGTTTCTCGGCCATTATTCCCACTGGAATCTTGAGGCTGAGCTGCGCTAATATGGCGTCTTTTGATAGCGTCAAAAGGGATAGAACAGGGAAGCTTAACGTCAGTTTTCTAACATCGTGTCCTATGCCATTCCGACGTTCATTACGGCAAAACATGGCGTCTTTTCATGACAGTGTCACTAACACAACAAAATCTGTGTTTATGTTCCCCGTTAATGTGTTCGAAACTTAATCATACTTAAAATAACCGTACGTTCATCATCGTGGTGTTGGAAACGGGAACAAATTTCCCGGCTGTGAGTGTGAACTCCTTTTGAGCTGTTGCAATGACGAAGGCCAGGCAGCGCTGGAATTGTACAGGAGTGCCAACCCAGTCGCATCCCCAAGCCGAATCGCCCACACTCTCCGCCTGCAACATTTGAAATCGAATTTATTCTATTGAATTCGCGTTTTTATGCACGTTAGATTTACTGGTAAGAAGACGTAAACTTACCTGTGCAGTCAACTCAGTTCCCAGCCTGCAGAATATGAACACACACACCAGCATCGCGAAATAGGCTGTGAATGCTTGAATTACGTCTGCAGAATGACCCCAGCTCTGCATATGTGAATATACGGACGAATTGATATAAATGACAAGTTTAACTTCTACATACAGAGGCCTGACTTTTATTTGATAATAATTAATTCTTCAACTCTCTCTAAAAATTTGAAGATCGTTTCTTTCGAAACAAAAGACTAATTTTACCTGTTGTTTTTTATGGGTGCGCATTTTGGTGTCTCGTTATAACTGAATAACACACTTTGTGTAGATTTAATAAGAGAAGCTTGGGGACAATATTTTGATTTGAGGAGGATGAAATAATTGGAGACTGGAAAAGAAATTGGTCTGTCAGGAACTTCGTACTTTTACCTGTTGTTTTCTATGGGTGCGAAATTTGGTGTCTCATTATAACTGAATAACACACTTTGGGTGGATTTAATAAAAGATGTTTAGGGACAATATTTTGATTTGAGGAGGATGAAATTTTTGGAGACTGAAAGAAATTGCGCAGTGAGAAGCTTCGTACTTTGAACCACTAAATGGGGGTAAATAGTTCGGGAAACTCTTACGTAGAGACAATAATTTTTATTAAATTTGGCCTTCATGTGAAAAAGTGATCGCTTTGAGGACGTACAGATTGGCGGTGCTTTTTGCACGCATGAGACGATAAGAGATTAAAGCAATATTTGTTTGGAGACACTAAATAGGTGTAAATAATTTAAGAAACTCGGACGTAGAGACAAGAATTTTTATTAAATTTGGCCTTGAAAATAGTGTGACAATGTTGGCATTTGTCATTTAGTTACACCTTATAACACTGTCGGTCTATATAGGTATTGGGTTGTGACGCAGTTTGGACCTGTAGTGGCGACCAGTGTCGCCCCGAAACGTCAAAACCCGCATGCAGGTCCGCACGGTGTCGCAACCAGGAACACAGACATCGACACCTTAGCCCCTGTGGCAACCTATAACTCAGACACGCAACGTTGTGTGCAAATGAAACACGCAATGTGCGTTAGGCGAACTTTCCAGAAGTATTTGTCCAAAGTTACAGGCACTGGTTTTAGCCACTGTTGTTCGTCTTGCCTGCAAATTTGTGTGTCTTTTGTAATATCCTGAATTCAGATGTTAGCAATTACGAAAACAGTACTATACCATGACTGCGGAGAAGGAGAAGCAGCATAATGCAATGACGTTATTCGTTTCTTATTTAGAAATGATTTGAAAAATTTCTATCTGTTTACTCTAGACTGGGCTAGGGGCTGGCAGGGCAGACCATCTGTCGGACACGAGGTCGTAAGAGATGTTCTGGACCGTGTAATTCCATACTTTCCAGTGGATGTAGATCGTTGCTTGCACATGAGTAAAAACCAGAAACTGTCGATACAGATGCAGTAGAAGGTTTCGGGATTAAATGAGTCCAAGGACCCCAATTTTCGGCGTAACGTTTATAAACTTACTTCCACCATCAGACTCGTGATGTCAGATTTGCTCAGACATTTATAAGTAGGTCTAATTCCATATGCTCACCTTTTTATCTCCTGGTGATGACGTATGCAGGCATTGAGCTGATCCTGCATTCGGCTAAACGTTCCCTCGTGCTCTGAGGTCTCCTGTTTGATGTCCAGGAGAGCTGCCCTCAGCTTCTCCAGCTGACTGCACGCCACACACACCATCATGCCATACAGACCCATGAAGCTCATCATTGTGGCCAACATCGCAAGTGTGCCAAGTATCTAAGGACGATAACAGTAACGTATGGGTGTGAAACTTGGTTTATTCTGCACCAAGGACTGATAATGCGTGAGAACGAGGTGATGATGGGAACATCTAGCCTTAACAGGGGCGAAGCAACCGAATGGTTGAGAAATCACCGTAATGACTTGTAATTCTTACCGAATATTGAGATATTATTAACTCTTTTCCTGCAGACTGATTTTGGGACACAGGGAGATCATGCAAAGGGTTGCTCTGCATGTATAATTCTGTAGATTAAATCATATAAGTAAAATTTTAAATTTCATCAGATTTAGATTCATGGTGTGGTGACTGGTCACTATTGATTCCTTCATATTTTCATATTCTGGCACATTCCATCCAGTTTTGGAAGTGAAGTTTATCTAGTACAATTAGTAAGCAATTTATATAGATCAAGTACAGTGTGTGCGTGATCGTGCACGTGTGTGTGTGCATGCATTCACACTCCTCTTTCTTATTCTTCAAGAATAATATAAAATTTGTGTTCTTGATAGCACAGCTCTATATACAACTAGGCTTTCATATTTAAGAGACATCCACACAGGAAAAAATCATTTTATTGCAGGGGTGTCTTGCATTTGATATGGTTAAAAGGTACTTTAAATTATTAGAATGTATTTATTTTATTTACATGTATGTCCTACGTTTGTCATAAAATCTACAAAAGATAATTGTGACATTTATAGTAAATTATCTGCTTTTAATTCTAAGAAACTATGCACTAGACATTCATAATTTAATTGTGAGCTATTTAACTTCATTATGAGCATGTATGTTACGTAATGGACGTGTATGAACAAGTATATTGAACATGATAACACAACATATTATTGGTTCTATAAGAAGCAATGTGTGAAAATTTCTACTTTTTAAGAAATCAGAATAAATTGTTACCTCTGCGATATTCGTTATTTGCAAGGCCATCTTTGACGAGCTGTCAAAGAGGTGCCACGTGTCATACATCAGGCCGGTATATCTCACCCTGGTTATAAATGAGTGGATTATGTGATATCCGCTGAGAAAAATTAGGGCTCGCAACATGTATCTCTGAAGGCGAGTGATCAGTCCAGCCATTGTTAAAACTTTCGTGTCGTAGTCGGTTTCTGGTTGGTCCTCCCATGTGAAGGATTCCGTGAGAACAAACAGGACCTCAAAAGCAGGTTTACGAAACCTGAAAGAAACAAACATTTAAGTGTAGCCAACTGTCGTCGCTCTGATTTACTTTGAGCAGAGCCACGCTCGAGTTTTCCAAACGCTTTCTTTGCAATTCATCGCTTCCTCATTGGCCTTGGCGTTTGCTGACTGCAGATCGCGGTCAGTTTTTACGAAATTAAACACGAGGGAGATAATCGCAATTTATTTTATATCGTGTACTGTTGAACATTCCGTGCATTTAGAAAATGTTTAGATCAAGTTGTGGATCTTCGTGTTGCAACATCACGCAACAATCATTTCGTGCGATTTGCCGTTGAACGATGCCTGAGAAAAATCTCGTTTCCAGTTCGTGTAAATTAGCGATGCTTTTACACCAAAATGAACATAACTTAAAGAGGCCTGTAATATGAGTGAAGATACGAGGTTCTCGTGCCTGTGAGATACAAGCGTTTCGGAGATACATATTTGTTCCATCTTCAATGGTAATTTGAAATGGAGACGGCATGTATCTGAGAAAGTTTGATGTCTGCGTACAAGTGAGCACGGCGTTACAACGAAGACAAAACAAATAATAACTAACATTTCTATCAACATGTATCTCTGAAGGCGAGTGACCAGTCCAGCCATTGTTAAAACTTTCGTGTCTGGGTCGGTTTCTGGTTGGTCCTCCCATCTGAAGGATTCCGTGAAAGTAAACAGGACATCAAAATCAGCTTTACGAATCCTGAAAGAAACAAACATGTAAGTTTTCTGTAGCCAACTGTTGCTCTGATTTACTTTGAGCAGAGCCACGCTGACAAATGTACTCGAGTTTTCCAAACGCTTTCTTTGCAATTCATTGCTTAATCATTGGCCTTGGCGTTTGCTGACTGCAGATCGCGGTCAGTTGTTACGAAAATAATGACGCGGGAGATAATCGCAATTTATTTTATATCGTGTATTGTTGAACATTCCGTGCATTTAGAACATTTTTAAACCAAGTTGTGAATCTTCATGTTGCAACATCATGCAACAATAATTTCGTGCGGTCAGCCGTTGGACGATGCCTGAGAAAAATCTCGTTTGCATTTCGTGTGAATTTAGCTATACTTTTACACCAAAACGAACATAATTTAAACAGGCCGGTAAAATGAGTGACGATACGAGGTTCTCGCGCCTGTGAGATACCAGCGTTTCAGATACACATATTTGTTCCGTTTCGGGGCTAATTTAAAATGGCGACGGTATGTTTCTGAGAAACTTTGGTGTGTGCGTAGAAGTGAACACAGCGTTACTACCCAGGAGACAGCCATCTGCAGACTCACCGTCGTCCACCAGACTACACGGTGTTACTACCCAGAAGTCATCCATCTTCAGACTCACCGCCTTGAAAACCTCAGATCCTACTTGGTTGATCTTTGTAATGGTGAAGTGCAGTGTTTTCTTCGCGGTACGGACTGAATTATATTAAATGTTACTTACACGAACTTCGGCTTCAAAGGGGCACACTCGCGTTTTAAATTACATATACGCGGTTACATTTGTTCAGGACACAATGAACATGTCTCCGGAAAAAGATGACTGCCATCTAGGTCGTTACACTGATGATGGAAACAGAAAACACCTCTTTGTCCCCATAAAACTCTGAACAGATAACTGAGTTCCGATTACCTTAGGTACGTGTGCATCCACAATACGACATTGGCCCCCAGTAAGAAACGGATCTTCACAATGGCATTATCCAAATCTCTGCTTGTGAACACATCCATGGTAAATTCCAGGTACAGGTTGTAGATGCAGATGGAAACCACCGTGTTGTACAAGGAGCGATAGCGTGAGGACGTCTTCCTGTTCACAGGGATTCCTACTAACCGCAAGAATAGAAACAGCAGACTAAAACGTCTTTCGGTGATGTCTCCTGTGTTCAAAGTGGAGTTCTCCATCGTGACGTATTGATTCCAGCAGTACGTCTTCTTCTCCTTGTTCGTACTGTCACTGTCACGAAGACTGTGAGATGAGATACAAGGCTTCTCTCTCTTCTTTGTTTCGTTACACTCTGACTCAATTGAGTATTTTTCTGTGCTCCAAAGCGCAGGGATTGATAAAATATTCATGAAATTCGAAGTTCGTTGTTAACGATTCGACCTTTCGTTGCCTTAATC